ATTTTGGTATAAGATGGCATAAAGAAGTTTGGAAATGTTCTAGGTTTGTGTGAAGAGTTAAGGGATCTTTAGGGATCTTTAATTACTTCCATTTGGTTTTCGTAGTTGTGGATTTTTCTTGGACATAAAGTTTGTTCAAATTGGAGATTTTTTGGTATATGGTTGAGTTTTACAAGTTTTTGGACAACTGCTGGAGAAACTCATGAATCTAAAATTAAGAATTGAAGGATGATGAAAAAGAGGTTTGATGGAATTTGAAAGAAGGGAAACACTAGATTAAAAGATAACAAGGTAATTGGTGCTAGAGAAAAGTTTGATTGTATTTGTCAATAAGAAGGGTCAAGGACAATAGTTTGGGTTTGTTAGTTTTATGATTATATATTTAAGGTGGGATAAAGGACAATAGTGAAGAATTATTCGAAAAGTTATTTTACGAATAAGATGGCATAATTGACTCAGAAGTTTGGAAATGTTCTAGATTTGTTTGAAAAGTTGAATAGATTTTAAAATCACTTCCATTTGGTGCTCATAGTAGAGGATTTTTATTGGACACAGTTTTTTAAAATTGGAGATCTATTGGTATATTAATTTCAAGTTTTCAAGTTGTTGGACAGTGGAGAAACTAGTAAGTCTAAAAGGAACTGGAGGGAAGATAAATTGTGGTTGGAGGAACTTTTAACAATGGAAGCAATAGAAGGAAAGATATTGGGGCTATTGGTGAAGTTGGATTGTATTGGTAAATAAGATAGATAAAGATATTGGAGAAAGATACTTTGTTGATAAAGGAATCTGGTGGGAAAGAATAAGATTGGTCTTTCAACTTTCATTATAAAGAGTTCTTGTTTTGAGGAGTGGTTGAAAATTTTCGTTATTTGGATTGGAGATAATGATTGAGCTACTAAGAACTAGAGTTCGTTTTTGGGATAATGAGATTAAACTGTCGTAAAGATTAGCAAATTGAACAAAGTATTAAGATCAATGGACGAAGATACTTTCTTAGAATCGTTGACAATTTTCCTTGAAAATTGAAATGATGAGAYAAAATAAGAGATGTACTTGAAAAGAGGAAAAGATACATGTGTGGTGGATGGAGGATGGGCTATGCATTAGAATAAACATATTAAAATTGAAAACTTTAGAATTCATTGAAAAGTTTATTTTGGAATAAGATGGCATCACAAAGTTTGAAAATGTTCTAGGCTTGTGTGTAAAGTTAAAGGGCATGCGAATCCTTCCATTTCGTTATCGTAGCTGTGGAATTTTCTTGGACAGGAAGTTTGTTCAAATTGGAGATACATTAGTATATGGTTGAATTTTRCAAGTTTTTTGACAAGTGGTGGGGAAACTTATAAGTCTTAAAGGAAGAATGGAGAGATGACAAAAAGAGATTTTGGTGCTAGAGAAAAGTTTGATTGTATTGGTCAATAAGGTGGACAAAAGACAATAATTTAGATTTATCGAGTTTTATGCTTGTGTATTTAAGGATGGAGAAAGATACTTTGTTAAGATATAGGAATTTGAATTAAAGAATGAGAAATTGGTATATGGTTTTTAGTTTGACAAGTTTTGGTCAATTGGATGAGAAACTTATAAGTTTTAAAGGAACAATTGAGGGATAATGAATTGTGGTTGGAGGGAATTTTTAATGATGGACGCACTRTAGAAAAAGATATTGGGGTTCTTGGTGAAGTTGGATTGTATTGGTAAATAAGTTTAATATAGTACAATATTTTGAATTTTTTGAGTTTTATGGCTATGTATTTAAGTAGGGAAAGATACTTTGTTAGGATAAAGGATTTTTTTTGAGGAAATAATGAGATTGGATTTCATATTTTTTTCAAAGAAGTGTGGATGAGTGAGGAAAAAGGGTTGTAACGATTTGCAATGTGAATGAAGTATTAAAATAATAGGATGAAGTTACTTTCTTATAATCGCGAGCAATATGCCTTGAAGATTGAACGAAGAAAAGATAACATTACGAATTATGTACTCAAAAGAGGGAAAATGTACATGTAGTGTGGATGGAGGACTTAGCATAGGAATGGACGTATGAAAACCAAAAATGGAAGGAAGGATTCTTCAAAGAAATTCCCCGACACTCTTTCGCAATGCTCCGACTGAATCCATTTCCCTTTTCCGGCGCCTTTCACAATGGAATCAAGAAAACTCTTTATAGAAATCGAAAACAAAGTTTTGGATGTGGTTTTGACCCTAGAAACAAGGAAGAGTCTTGAAAAGAATGGAAAAACACAATAGGAGATACTTCACTTTCTGTAAAAAAAAAATTATAGCAGTTTGGATTACAGATTCCCTTTTAGACCTCCTCATGTTGCTTCAATCCTATAAATTTTTAGGAGGATAGAATGTAATGGGTGCGTCATATGGATCCACAAAAGTAACAAATAGAAGGGGAAGCTTTGTAGAGATCACAAAGGTAAATGCCTCAAGTAGAAAAAAGAATTTTAGTAATACCTTCATACTACAAATACAAAGGATGGACAACCTTCCTATTCGTGGATGGAAATGGGAAAGAAGTCTAGAGGTACCTTTCATGAGAGRCCTTTTCTATTTCTTAGGCCTTTTTTGAGACTCAAGTTGGTTGTCCATATATGCAGGATGCTTCAATCATTAGCGTTTTTCGAGACCAATGGTGAAAGCTCACTGGTTTAATTATCATTGAAATGACATTGATGGTGATATTTTCAAGAAGGCAGCAATGGTTGTTAATCTCTTTGGAGCCTTCTTTAATTGCTTTTCAAAACGATTGATACATTTCTGGTACCAAAAAATTGTGGAGGAAGCAAATCCAAACCTTTTTCCTTAGATTGAATATTCCCTTAAGGCCTTTGTTCTCTTGTAGTTGTTTTGTTCATCATTGTTTTATTTCTCTTGTGTCTTTTGGATTTTGTTTCTTCCTGTGGCTTTTTTCCTTTCTTTCTTTTGTTTATTTTTCCTTTTTCTCCTTTTGGAAGTTTATATCAATGAAAAGTTTATTTCTCGTTCAAAAAAGAGAAATAAGTCCAAAACAGGAGGAACGGAGGGTCAAAAGAGCAGCCTGTAGGTATTCTTAAAGTTTCCAAATTCTCCATCCTTCACCAACGGCAGGAAATGAAGAAAGAAAGAAAGATATGTTGGAAAATAGTGAAGTTAGAGGTTGAAATGGGAAGGGACCTTAATGGTGATGAGAATGAATTTCCATAATGATTGAGGGAGAATCTTAGAAATGCTCCAAGATCAGTTGAAAGAATCTTTCATCATAAATCATTCCCAATCGGATAAGGCCCTTTTGAAGTGCAAATCGTGAGATGTGGCAAGAATGCTAGCCCTAAACGGGGGATGGGTCACTTTTGAACCTTAACCCTAATATTAGGAATTAGGATGCCATAAAGCATTGAAGAATGAATGTAGTGCCGTCCTAGGGGGGATGGGTTAAAGTTAGGAATGTTCCCGTACATTTATGGAGCTCAGCAACTTTCAATGGAATAGGAAACAACTTAGAAGTGGCTATAAAAGTTAGAAGCAATTAATGTGGGTTTATCCTTGCTCAAGTGGTCGAAATTCATGGCACCTTTCCACTGGAGATGGCAACGACCTCTTACAGAGAGAATGGAGGACGTCTTACAGAGAGAATGGGTTCCTCGAAAATTATGTTTCATAGGTTCAGATTGTTGGACTGCTGCTGAAAGAAGAGTCTAAATAAGAATGGTACCTTTTTGGCACATGTAGCCCGCACTCAACATCCTGTAAGATTGAAATAACCTGACAAAACTTGCTTTCAGCTGCAGTGTATATAAAAACTTGTCCGACCTTAAGCGGCACGAGAATGTTGTAGTTGCTTGTTTTGTGGTGAATGTCTTGTCCAACAAAATGTTTTCGATCATGATTTCGTTTCCGAGGAAGCCAGGTGCCATTTTGGTGTGCAGATGTTGTATTCCCTGGGCGATTCCAGTGGTTAATTCCCATTTACTGAGGCCATTTCGGAGCCTCCTTCCTTTTCCAATATGTGTCTGATGTTACAATATCGATAGCCTTTCGAAAGGTCATCTCTCCCCTAAAAAACTATGCTAAGTTCTTCCCCATGAACTATTTYCTAAAAGATACATCATCCTATTCCCACTACCTCTATTTATATTCAACTTACCCCTAAGTAATTACCATAACCTCCATAACTAATGTACTAATACTATTCCAAAATTATYCTAATAGGATTCTCACATTACTCCGCCCTTCAATGACACCTTGTCCTCAAGGTATGGATACAAAAAAGGGAAAAAAGAAAAAAATAYGTTTTTTTAACTCACCCACAAAAACAGGAACAACTATGTTCTCAAACTCTAAGAAATAGTCGATTCCTTTTATGCAATAGTTATATATTCAACTGTTCAAGTTTCTTTCTCCTAGTTCTTGTGGTTGTGGATTTCTCTCCAAAAATTATCTCATTCTAAAGCCTTTGTTTTTATTTGGTGGGTGCACCTGGACTTTATGTTGTCTCTCTCCCCTACCTCATTTCCTCTCTCCTCTCTCTCTCCTCTCTCTCTCCTTCTCTATACTATCCCTCTTTCTCTCTATCTTTCCTTTCCCCTCTCTCTCTCTCTCTCTCACTGTCTCTTTCTTCCTCCCTCCTTTCCTATCTTTTCCTCTCTCCATCCCCAAGGCACCATATACTTAAATATATTAATATTTTACGTGTTGAATTGCATAAAGATAGCCGAGTTTGATTTTATTTTATGAGAACATTGTCTTATAAAGAGAGAATAATTTAAATATTAATAAAGGATCCAGAACCTGGCATCTTTCCGTTGAAGGTAAAATTTGAATTTGTGATAGATCATTTTGCATCATTGTAATGAGTTTATTCTTTTTGGGGGGACAAGGCCCATTATTGAAAGTCTGTATTACCTTAAAAGATTGGTGAGAACAGTGAAGGAATCAATAGAGAAGGTTTTGGGATAGAGTCTGAATTTTGGGGGTTTAAGGAGAGCTTTTGTTTCCATTGACAGTTAACGAGTAGCAGCACAGACAATTGGAACTGGAACAAGAACAGCAAAAAAGAGAGCCGAATTGCCCTTGAAGCCAAGGGAAGGTATGCATGAACTTACCAATTCGTTTTCTCTCTTTTATTTATTTGTTTTTTCAATGAACTGTAATTTTCTTCTTGGATTTGCAGATTCTAATCGTTACCTTAGTCTTGGTTGGTAATAGGGATGGCAACGGGGTGGGGCCGGGGGCCATCCCCATCCCCACCCCTGTCCCCGAAATTTTGGGGGCAGGGACGGGGCGGAGATTCCCTGATTATAAATATATATATATATATTTTAATTTTTAATTAATTATTGTTATTACTAGTACAAAAATGGAAAAAATGGCCAAATGGGATATTAGCTTGAGTTTGAGTTTTCTTTTTTTAAATTAAAAAGTATTTATAAAATTAATGTATATTAATATTGTTATATAAAAAATAGAAAAAATAATAAAATATTATACTGGACGGGGACAGGGCGGGGAATCCTTCTCGGTCCTTGCCCCATCCTGAGAACTCCGATTGGGATCCTCGATTTGACCCTGTCCTGGTCGAACTGRGGATTCTCCGACCTGATCGGATCGGGTACTTGCAGAATTTTTTGCCATCTCTGATTGGTAATCTCTTATCTCTCGATTTGGCGGCTTATAATCCCTATGTTCTCAATTTGGCAGGTGTGTTTTGTAATATTTTCATAATATAAGCTTTAAAAAAATTAATAATAATTAATAATAAGATTGKAAAAAATAATATTCTTATTTGTCATAAGGAAAAATTAGTTTAAAATATGATATTATAGGTAGGTAGGAAGAGTGAGAGATACACTTAATTTTTTTTTAATTATTTGATTTTTTAAAATATCATTTTATAAGTGCTTGTATTTTAATTATTAGTATCATGGAAAGATTGGTAAAAAGATTTAACAATCGTAGACACGTAAAAAAGATCGCAGGGAAGAGTCAAATTAGAGGAGAGATGGAGTTAAAAGAAGTCTTAAAGTAAAAAAAGTTTTTTTTTAATAATAATTTTGAATGATATTGCAATTCGACAATTTTATTAATGATTTCATTTTAGAGAAGCTCTTCGATGTTAATATAAAAAAGTTTCATTATCGAAAAATAAAAAATAAAAAAACTAATATATAAACATCATGATAAAACAGCTTATTTTATTTATAACGATCTATTTTTAAAAATTACTATAATAAAAATTAATTACAACTTCTGACACTTTTTTTTTTACTACAATTAACCTAACACTTCGCTTTTGTTGAGAAATACGTAATTTGTTTGTTTTTGTACATCTATATTTTGAAATGCATTATTTATTTATTTAYTTTGAGTTTCATGATTTTGTTATGTTATTTGKAAAGGAAAGAAACCAAATAATAAATGAAAGAGGGATAGAAAGAGAGCGATGATTGTGGGCTCCGTGGGCCGATTAGGGGGGCCCATCATTTGTTATACTGCCAACTTATTTGATCGTTATTATTATTTTTTTTTTTGAAATTTTATGTAATTTAAATTAAGAGCAATTAAAATAATTTATATTATAATTTTATTTTGGTTTAGTTACAGACTCCTTTCTGGTTGATTRAGAAACGTGCTCCCTCTCCCGCCTTCTTTTTCTTCTTCTCCTCCTCCTCTGTAGCTCTCCCTCTCCCGCCGTCTTCAGTTCCCGTAGTCAACAATCCAGGTTTGATTTCCTTTTCCGATCTCATTTATGGGTTCCACTTAGGGTTTTCTCCACCCTCTCACTCAATCTCGCTCATCACCAGTCGATTACTGGTTTTGGAAGTACAGAAAATCATATTGTAACTTTCTTCTTGGTTTCCCAGGTTCTAATCGCATCGATCTCGATTTTGTGAGTTTTTAATCTCTTCGCTCCCGATTTTGAGGTTTCTCAATCCCTAGATTCTCAAATTTGCTGGTCGGAGCAGATTTCGAGTGAAGGAAGGAAGTGAAATCCAAATTTAACACGCTCGTAATTTGGTCTCTCCCCTGATAATTCCGCAAACCACTTCAAATTACAGCACAAAATCCAAAGAAAATTTCATCATCTCGTCTCCATCGCTGGATTTTCCCTTATCGGACCTGCTCGTTGAATTTGGTGCCTCCATTGTCTCTCAACATTAATCAGACTTCTGATTCGTGTATAGTTCTGGGGGCGCAAATGAATAGCTCCTCACCAGCTAATTCTTCCATTTCTACCACAGCGGTTGCCGGAAGATGTAGCACCAATGCAGCAATGTCAGTTGATGATTTTCGCTTCCCCGCCAATTTAATTTCGATACCAGAGCGCAAGGACGAGGTCATGAGCGGTTAGTTTCCTTTGATCTCTCCTTTTCTCGAGGGCCGCTTTCAAATTTGGGTATCTAATTGTGATTTTGCTGCACTATCTTTGTGGATTCTGATCTTCAAGTATAAAATTCCTATTCATTTTGGTGGCTTCAATTATTTTGGTGAAGACTTCCATTCTCGATTTGATCCCTCAAGTGCCTTTCATGAACCGCGTTCTTTTAAGCTTGTGTTTTTGCTTCATTTATTTATTTATTTATTTTTATTCATTTGTGCTTAATGGTTCCTCCAACTCTGAAACAATCTTGTTGATGGTTCTACTTTTGTAGTTGTAAATCAGTTCATGTTGTTTTGTGCCATATGGGTTTCTTGAGGCCATGATCGATTTCTGGGGAGCTCATGAACTGTCAAAATGTTACGTTCTCTCACCATTATGTAATGGCATGAGAAACATATAACCGGTAGCCTCTCTAGCTAACTCTGCGATGGATGATGTGACTACTAACTAGAGAAGGGAGAAAAAGATTTTGTGAAGYGGTGATTGGAAAAATCATTGAAAAACAAAAACTCCAACCAATCATCCATCACAGGCCAAAAGAAAAAGATTTTATATACTTTAATGGAGTTATACTTTGATAGATTTCACCTTCATTTAGCGTGCAATACCATGAATTACATAAAGAGTTAAGAGGGAAATGACTCATCCTAATTTTTCACGAACTTGTTCAGATTTCTCAGGTAAAATAAAAATTATACAATATACTGGTTCCTCGTTCCTTTTTGAACCTCTATTCTCTGAATTAGGAGAGTAGAAATAAAACTTCAGCTATTTCTGTTGCATTCATAGAGAGAATTAATCTGATCTTCTGTTGAAATGTTTTGATATTTCCCACTTGTGTTATACTTGGGTGTTTGTTKATTAAGATGAACAATGGGATAAGAAACTCATTTTAGTTGGACATTGTAATGGCTTTTTGCTTCCTACGCATAAATAAATCATTTCCTCTGGGAGTAAGGTTTGAATTTTCTCTGAGTTACAGCTCTTAAATCTAATATAATGGCTGCGCTGAACAAGGAGGTCAAATCCCTGGATGACGATAACTGGATGTTTGAAGGTCCTCGCTCCMGTATCAACCTTATGTCACGACAAGGTCAACTATTTAACTTTCCACTTGCTCACTCTACATTCTCATTCTACACATGTATGCATCAGTTAATGCATGTGCATATACTTATCTGTGGAATGCATTTGTAAGGAAGCATACATTCATGTACATATGCATGTGTTCAGTGATGTGTGTTGCACATAAAAATGAGTTACAAGAACGCATACTTGTGCCTATATACAAATCATTTACATGTCTATTTAGCTGGCTCTTGTTGCGTTCTGCTGCAAAAAGGGTTTGACCTGACATCAGGAAAATTTCAAGTGCTTTTGGAATAAATGAATAAATGATCGAGAAGTCGAACCAACTGATTCTTAAAATATGCTCTACTGTGAATATAAAGAATGCAAGGGTAAGCAAAAAATGGAGATGTTTTTCTTGTTTCTGGTTAACAATAGGTTTCAGTTTTTAACTAGTTGCGACATGTGAACACCACCTCGAGACATAAGATCTTTCCTAGAAATTGTGTTCAAGAACTCTTGTGATGGATGTTGTCCAGTTTCATTGTTCACTACATTTTCAATATTTTTCCCCAGCAACTAGTTGAATTCAGCAGTTTACTTCTGTTTCTTGTTCTGTGTTCTCTATTCAAATGCTATTTTCTTGACTAGTCGATTTTTGCGCTTTCAAGGTGTGCTAATTGCTATGCAATTCCCTATCAGGTGGTCCTTTCCTCAAAAAGACAGAAGAGAAGAGAAGATAATGGGTCGGATTGATAATAATTATTAAGAGATCTTCAGCCTGAAGACATCTTGTTATTGTGGTGGCTGGCGCTGCGCTTGGACAACACTCGGTTTCATTAATCAAGTAATAGTTCTTTTCAATCGTGTAAGTTTAATTTTCAAATATGAAACAGCTAATTTCTACAAACAACTCTCCTAATCTCCCAAATTGGAAGAGGAAAAAGCTAGCAGTACAGGGGGGAGGAACAAGACCTCTGCTACCACATCGATCCTAGATCATTACAAATTAAAGAACTAAATTGTTACTTCAGTAAAAAGATGTAAAGATGAAAAGTATTATTTAACTTTTTTTTTTTTGAATTCCAACGAGTAGGGTGAAGATTTGAATATCTAATCTTTTTGTTGAAGATATATTTGGYGATATAGTTGTTTTATGGAGTTTGTTTAGAATACAATAAAATAAAACTATTTATGGTTAGAGGGACAAAATTCTACCTTATTTATGTATAATCTTTTCGTTCTAAATTAGGAGGAAAAACTTGTTGTATTATATATGTTCAATTATTGATGTTCTCTACTGATTTTCTTGTATTTTCGATGAATTTATTTGTAAGAATAATTAAATTCCAAAAAACCTAACTAACAATATATTACAAATGAATGTTTATTTTTTAGAAAAATAAGCAGCAAAATATAAAATAGATCCCACATAATAAGATTAAAATATTTTGTCTTCCGATGGGTGTTACCTTATTGAATTTTTAAAATACGATACATTTTATAGAACTTTAAAATTAGGTTATGTAGAAGCATACATTTTGGCTAATTAATTACGTAATTATTTTAAATTAATGGTAAAAAATACATATTATTAAAGTTGGGATTAGTTATAAATTAAAGTATCTTCAAATTATATCAGAAGGCATAAAATTGGTAAATCAAATAAATAAATAGTCTCATTGGATGCTATAARGGACATAAAATTTTGTCATTAAAATTAAAATACATTAATAAAATTATCATTTTCTTAAATGAGTGGAAATTTGAACTTACGACTTTTTGATTGGAACCATTTAAATTTTCACATATTTTATTTTATTTTATTTATAAAATTTGTTCGAGGAAACTGGTTGGCATAAAATGATCAATTAAATATATCATTTCCATCTTTCTTGAAATATGTGCGAACAAGTTCAGTTTCAGTTTAATTACTCAATCAGTGATTAAGGTTAATTAATGCATCATTCAAAACTATAATGTTGAATATATTTGGCAATTTTGGATAATATATATATATAGTTGACCATACTTGGTTTAATTAAATATGGTTCATATTTACGTTACAATTTATTAATATATCATGATTATATTAATTAGATCTCAATAGCCGTCAAAATGAATATTCCCACCTTCATACGTTATACTAAAAAAAATCTCAATATTCGATTTAAACGTGAGAAAATATTTTTTTCCTTTCCTTTTCTGCTATTTTTAAAACTTTTCGACCATTTCTGCAATTTAATTTTAACACAATTAAGAGAAAATAAAACATTCTAAAAAAGAAAGAAAAAAGAAAAGAAAATGAGAGAGAGAGGGAAAAAAAAAAACCAGAAGCATCTTCATTTTCTTAACCCGCAAGTAAGCGTTAGACGTACGCTACGCGAAYCGAGTACACGATTGATCGTGCACACACGATAAATACTCAAACGAACAAACCTGAATTTCAGATTTATTAACACTGCCCTAACATTTGGCTCCCAAAACTTGGAATTCTCAGAAAGCTCGATTCCTTCGCGATCAAATTTCTTGAAATTCCTCCTGATTTTCTCTTCCCAATCCCAAAATCCGAAGCTCGTTTTCCCCATTGGCAGATCGCTCGGACGGAAATGGGTACCGGGCAGAGCCGCGAGGACGTTGAACTTTCAGACTCCGATGAGTATAAGGAAGAAGAGGAAGAGGAAGAGGAAGATKATAAAGAATACGAAGACGCTGAGAAAGAACTGAGGCCACAATCAATCTCTGGAGCCAAATCGACTGGTAATCCACCTCCAATCGATGATGTCGAGGCCAAACTCCAAGCTCTTAAGCTCAAGTATGGCTCCTCTTCCCCTTCTCAGATACCTAATTCCAAGAACGCTGTGAAACTTTACCTTCATATCGGCGGAAACACCCCCAGAGCAAAGTGGATCGTCTCCGAGAAACTCACTTTTTACGCTTTTGTCAAGACGGCGAACGTCGATGGAGATAACGACGAAGACGACGAAGAGGATGACGACGACGGTTGTAAAGCCAATTCGTCGGCTGGGAGAGGTCAGTTACGTTGGGTACTCAAAGTGGGGGCGAAGGTCAGAGCTCTGGTTTCGACGGAAATGCAATTGAAGATGTTCGGCGATCAGCGGCGCGTCGATTTTGTGGACAAAGGCGTGTGGGCTTTAAAATTTCCCAGCGACGAGCAGTACCGGAATTTCGTGACGGACTTCCAAGACTGTTTGTTTGAGAATGTCTACGGGATTAAAGCAACCGAAGAGAACAAGGTCAAGATTTACGGGAAGGAGTTCATTGGGTGGTTGAAGCCAGAGGTGGCTGATGATTCGGTATGGGAAGAAGCCGATCTTGATTTCGGGAAGAGCCCGGAGCCATCAGCGCCAGTCCGGGCAAAACAGGACCTAATAGAGGAGTTTGAGGAGGCTGCTAATGGAGTACAAAGCTTGACATTAGGGGCATTGGATAACAGCTTCTTGGTGAACGATTCCGGGGTTCAGGTGTACAAGAATCTAAGCCATGGAATTCATGGGAAAGGCGTTTCATTGAAGTTCAATTCCAGAAATTCTCCGAACACAGCTCAATCAACGCCGAAGAAGGCTCTTCTCATGAGGGCAGAGACAAATATGCTCCTCATGAGTCCATTGAAGGAAGGAAAGCCCCACGCATCAGGGCTCCAGCAGCTTGATATAGAAACGGGAAAAATAGTTACAGAATGGAAGTTTGAAAAGGATGGCACTGATATTACAATGAGGGACATCACAAATGACAATAAAGGGTCGCAATTGGATCCTTCGGAGTCGACATTTTTGGGGTTGGACGACAACAGGCTTTGCCAATGGGACATGAGAGACCGGAGAGGAATGGTTCAGAACATTGGAGCTGATAATTCGCCGGTTCTGAACTGGACACAGGGGCACCAGTTTTCAAGAGGGACGAACTTCCAATGCTTTGCTACAACAGGGGATGGGTCGATTGTTGTTGGGTCTGTTGATGGGAAGATTAGGCTGTATTCGAAGACGTCGATGAGGCAGGCGAAAACGGCCTTTCCGGGGCTCGGTGCACCTATTACTCATGTGGATGTTACTTATGATGGGAAGTGGATTTTGGGGACGACTGATACTTATTTGATACTCATCTGCACGTTGTTCACTGATAAAGATGGGAACACGAAGACTGGGTTCAGTGGTCGGATGGGCAACAGGATTCCAGCTCCCAGGTTGCTGAAGCTGACTCCTCTGGATTCCCATTTGGCTGGAACCGATAATACTTTTCATGGTGGCCACTTTTCATGGGTAAGAAAAACTTTGTTCTCTTGTTCTGAATTTGAGTGCTTGAATCTTGCTCTGCTTTGTGGCTGGCTTAGTTGGTTGCTGTTGCTTAATGTTTTATTACTGTTTTTGGATAAATTGATAATATCATTACTAATCGAAGTTTTTTCAATCAAATACTTAGTTTTTTACTAAACCATGAGTTTTTAGTGATCTGATAATTTGACACCGAATAGGAAACTTATCTATTTAAATTGGTTATCCAACTGGATGGGTGCTGCGGGTAGAAAATAGATCAATGAGTGACGACAGTTTTCTTTGACAAAGGCTACGTTGGATAATTTTTTTGATTTTGGTTTTCTATTTTAAAAAATTAAGCTTATAAATGTTTTTTCGTTTCTGTGTCTACTTTCTAAAAAAAACATTTTCAAAATCTAAGCCAAATTAAAAACTAATTATTGTTTTTGAAATTTGGTTAGGAATTCAAATACCTTTTAAGAAAGATGAAAACACAGAGAAAGCCAGTATAATTTTTAAAAACAGAAAACTAAAAACGAAATCATTATCGATTAGTATTATCAATTAGCGGTCAGTAACTTGAAAGGTAAAATATGGGCAGGGGAATTCGTGATATGTTGTCTTTGGATTTATATTACAATGTTTCTTTTCTTTTTGTTTTTTGTTTTATGCTCCTGTCACGACGATTGTACTCTCATAGCTTCGGTTCCTACAGRGAATTCCCCTTGTTTTGGAATCCTAGAAATTGACTTGTTTCCACTTTTGTTGCCGATACCACACATTCTTTTGTCACTCTTCCTTTTCCTTTAGTCTGCAAGGTTCACTTGCGAGCTTACAATCTTTTTATCGACATCAAATTTCAGGTAACCGAGAGTGGGAAACAAGAGCGGCACCTTGTTGCAACAGTGGGAAAATTCAGTGTGATATGGGACTTCCATCAAGTAAAGAACAGTGCACACGACTGCTACCGGAATCAGCAAGGACTCAAAAGCTGTTACTGCTACAAGATCGTGCTGAAGGATGAATCAATCGTCGAGAGCCGATTCATGCACGACAAGTTTGCTGTCTCTGATTCTCCAGAAGCCCCACTGGTTGTGGCTACCCCAATGAAAGTCAGCTCCATCAGCCTGTCGGGAAAGAGATGAGAAGCCATGGTCATCGATGACATGGAGATAAACGGGTGCGCTTTTCTCATCTCCATGAATTTGATGTGTGCCTGTAGCTGTACTGCTCCTCTTCATGTGTTGTAATTAGAAATAGTCCTCCATTTTTCTTTTTAATCACTGCCTGCTCATAATATTGTGTTTATATGTGTTATGAGCTTCAAAATTGGTTCATTTATTATTTCACTGAGAAATGTGTCTGTGTTGGCTTGGAGTGTGTTCTTTCTGTAAATAGCTTAAACCATGTTGAGGTTTAGGACGTGTGTTTGTTTCTGCTTTCTGTGTGTGCTTTTATGGTGATTTTGAGGAAAAAGTGCACTAATCTTAAACATGACAGTCATAAAATACTAAAACAAATTGTCAATTCGAACATAGTTCSGTGGATAAAATACTCATTACCATTTCAACGGTTGSATGCAGCGTTGGACCAATAAAAAACACTAAAATGTGTTATTTTGTTGCCCTGGCGATTCCAACTCCAATGAACCTGTCATTAGTGTTTCTATTTAAAGTTCTATTTTTCACTGTCCTATTTTACAAAAAAACCGGTAACTGATAATCGTTGAAGGTTCGGTCTCCACCAGAAAAAAAAATTATAAATTAAAAAAATAAAAAAATAAAAATAAAAACAGACACAGTCTTATAATTAGGTTAGGTGTAGCTGTTGGAGTTAAGAGGAAATTAATTAGAAATTAAATTAGAATGGACACTCTCCTCAAAAACAAAGTGTTGTTGGAATGGAAAGCTACATTAAATAATAATAATAATAAAGTGTAACACAAAAAATATGTGGGAATAAGCATCCCTTTCTAAAATAGTTATTCTCCTGTATAATTAATTCTCCAACTACTTACCAAATCATTAACTAATCCAAATGTATTTTTAAATATATATATATATCTAATTTGATCACACTCCTATTGGATKAAAGAAATCACAAGTAGACATAGAAAGAGAAGACGTGGAGCTAATTATATGATTGGTATGGTACTAGCTAAGATAGTGTCTCGTAGAATGATTTGGCATGTGTTGATAATGAGAATTAACGCGGGTTCTTACTTATCTTTCATTGTTCATCTATAAAATATAATCGTGGTAGGATGAGAAACCATAATCTCAATTGTTGTGCGAGACAATATGAATTGGTATGATATTAAACAGAAGAAATGACGTGTCATTGGATTGAAGTAGACGTGTCATAAAATAARTACTATACATACCTAATTGAGATAACTTGATGGATAAATTTTGACTCACGGCAATATGTTTAACAAATTAATSTTCAGTTCAAAACGAATTTTCAATCACATCTAAACAATTTTGAACTCCACAAGAATGTGGAAGTAACTCCCATGGGAAATTTTAGATTTTTATTTCTCTCTAGAACAATTTTTAGAAATTACTCTATCACCTTTTAACATTTGACTAAAATTTGAAAAAAAAAATTCCAAAAAGTTAAAAAGAAGAGAATTGTCGATGTAAGATTCAAATGGACGTCTGATCAATTCAGGTGATGGTCAACAAACCTTATATCAGTGTAGAGCCAGGCTACGTACACTACAAAACTTAAGTTAGTACTTAATATGAATTGGTCTCAAGCTGAATTTAATTGGTTACTTAGAAAATTGGAAGCTCTAAAAAACGTTGCACTGTCATACTACCAGTGACATTTGTGTTTTCAAGTCAATGTCGAACATGGTTTCTAAGTTCTACTAGGTTAGTTAGCTAACTTTGTCGGTCTCATCTTTTTAAACTAAGACCCAGACACATGTTCCTCGATGAATGTTCCACGTGGCATAATTAATAAAGTTACCTTTTTATATAAACAACTTTAAATTATTATTTCCAAAGCATGTCTTCAACTTCATTATGAAAACGGAAAATCAACTGCAGCAATAAACAAATAATTACATGTCAAAGTTCTATAATATAATAAAGAACACTGTTATAATCACATGTCAAATTTTTTAGCAACTCAGTTATATTATTATTATAATAATAAAAATAAGTTGATTAGTTGAGTTAGTTAATTTTATTTCGTACCAGCAAAAATTAACCCTTTTGTGTAAGAATAAAAAACCAGGTGTGAATCCAAGTAAAATGAAGGTGATTTATTTATTTTGGTAATTATTTATTTTTGTCCTAAGCTAAGACTAAACTATCAAAGAAATTAACACGTGATCAAAAACATTTTGTCGTTTCCCATTGAATTTTGGGAGAATACCAATTAAATTAAACACGAGATTAATTATAAAGGGTGATTAAATTAATTGTATCATATCTGCTGACATTGACATTGCCTCACATGTGTTTTTGCACAAAGTAAACAGAAAATAAACCATCCATGCCTTTTTAGAATCAAATAAATTTTGATTTTTTTTCTTTAGACCATTATTTAATTATTTCAATCCCTAATTTTTGCATAAAAAATTATAACTTAAATTATTTAGCATAATCAATTTAAAAATTTTCTAATTATGTTGCGTTAAAAAAGAAATTGCTTACGTCTATTAATTAGATACTGGTGTAACGTGTCTATTGGATAAATGTTGGTTTGTTTGACATGATATTGTACAAAGAGATAAATAATTGGACAAAGTGGAGTGGCACACGCAACATGTTGACTCTCTTAGTCATGATTAAATTAAAAAGGAAAAATAATTAGTTTCTTAATTAAAAAGGATTTAAAAAATAGTTAGAAAGAAAAAAGAAAGAAAGAAAGTGTGGAGTGGGACCATAATTACTTCACAATTCGAATCCTAATCTTTTTTCCACCGCTCTTTTTGGTCTTTTAGCATCAAACAAAATTCAGCACATTCTAAATATGAACAACATGAAATATTTTAATATTCCTTTTCTTATAAAAGAACCAAAAACAGGTGGGAGAGAAAAAAACAAAAGGTATAAAAAAAAATCCCACGTGTTCGAAAATGCAGCACAAGTTGGTGAAAGTTGTACACGTGGCAGAGGATCATTGGTAGATAAAGAAACGTGGAATACTATTGTATGTTGGTGGGGCCGTTTCGTGGCGGTCAGTTATCCCCTGAATGACGCCAGCCCTGAAGATTTTCCTCCGCAGCCGACCTGAAACCGCTCCCAATTAAGAAACTATTTAATTTTCTTTTCTTGCAGCAAAAATATATTTTGTTTTAAATTTCAATCAAATTTCATATGTAATCTCAATTCTCGACTATAGTATTAGTACATCATAACATAGGTCGAAGAAGCTAGGATTCCCGACGAGGTGATGAATAAAACTTCTGATATGTGGTGGATGTTTAGTCAATTGTTTTGAAGACTTCTACATTGAATCTTGTATCGATGTAGCTTGATCACATACGATCCGAAGTTTAAGTTAGAACTTGGTCTAAGTTAGTGTCGAACCAAACTTGATGAGGTTGCATAAACATATTGTACCTTTGTGGGAAGGAACCTCACTTTTATAAGTGAACTTTGGAAGGTATTATTCTACTATTTTAACAGCCAGCACTTAATCAACAGATTTCACGTTGGTGGCATTCTTGGTTTCAAGTTTGGGTACCAAGTTGGACTTTTGTTAGGTATGTCAGAATCTGACCCTTCTCGTCCTCAACCTATCTAATGATATATACAAAACATTACAATTTTCTCAATTTACAAGGCTATTTATAAGGTTATTCTTCTTCCAAATAATACAATTAGTTGAATTAATTAAAGTTACCAAACTTAGACATTAGAAGATACAGAAAGTTTATGGACCATTTATTTATAATTTTTGGCCATATTTAATTTTATGAGAAATGTTGAATTTAAGGAAAAAAAAGGTTGAATTAATTGGACTTTACCAGCAATTGAGCTGGATTTGATGAATATACAGAATGAAATTTAAGTTTGAAAAAGTGAAGTCTCTTTTTAGAAAAATACAATTTTATTCATAAAATTAGTGATGGATGGAGCTTTTAACTATCCATACACGAGATGTTTAAAAAATTCCAACCTAAATTTCCACTTCAAAAATACGAGTGGGAGAGAGCTGGACAGTACGCTACGAGAATTCCCAAATCCCGGTGCTGGCGGAGTCCGACGAATCGCCGCCGTGATCCGTCACCATCGTCGACATCCATTGATCAATTTCATCTCTCGCAATCGCTCCCCACATTTCATCTTCATTTCCG